GAACTATGCAGGTGTATGATTTTTGGAAAATGATCTTAGGCCATCTTTAGATTAATTTTGAGTCTTAGTCATTTCTTTTACAAAATTATATCCCTAGTTAGTCGTGATTGAGTCTAATAGTATAATTTCTTTTTCATAAAACCCATATAATAAACCAATCCACGAAAAAATATATTTGGCACATTGTTGCTACTTAATTTTCTTGCACCCTCTTTTAAAGTCAGTGTGATACGAAAAACAAGAGCAAAGAAAAGGAAAAAAAGAACAAAGAAAAGAAGATAGTGATTGTTGTTCAAAGAAAGAAAAATTTGTGAAAGAAATCAAAAAAGAAAAAGAAAAAAAGAAAAAAACCAAGAAAGTGAAAAATGAGAATAAAAATGAAATAACGGAAATATCATGTATTTGAAAGTTTCGAAAAATTTATAAAGTGTGTCACATTAATTAAGAAATGATAGGTTTTGAATACCGTTGACGTCATTTCTTAAATATTAAACTCATGGCCACGTTACAACATTGCTAAAGTCTTTTTTGATTCCAGAAGTCATGCATGTGTATTATTTCCGCCTATTCATGAGAAAGGGGAAGTGTTTATTATGTGTTTGATGTTGTGTTAATATTCTTTCATGAGATTATGCTAAATTCCAATTTTATTCAAATAATCGTTCTTTTGATATATATTACATGTGAAATTATTTGTTTTATTAACAATATTCTTATTATATGTAATTTTTGAGTGATAGTCACTATAATGAGAGTGTGTTCTTTGCTGCGTGATTTCCAGAAAAGAATTGACATCAAAGCTAAGTCTTTTACAACAAAATGAAGGGTGGTGATATTTCTTAAGTGATTTTTAAACTCAACAAGTTGGGCTACAAAACATGGACCTTTAGGTGCCATAATTACAAAACATGGACCTTTAGGTGCCATAATTTGAGCCCAGATAAAATATAGGAGAAAATTCACTTTCCTTCCTTGTGGTTTAGTGCTTTTCTAGATCACCTCTCTATTCTTCTAAAATAAACACATAACCCCCTCATGGTTAATAGATTAAAACGAACAACCAACTCTATTAACAAAAAAGTTGAAATGACTTTAATACCCTTTTTCCTTCTTCTCCAGCAGACAATCCTTCTCCATACACTCAATCCATATCTCTCTCCCTATAGGGTAAAAACAAAAATCTAGAAATCCAACATCTCAATTTCAAAATTGAATCAAAATCATAAACAAAAATCATAACAAATCAAAATTAAAATTCAAAATAAAATAAACCCGAGATTCATTCTAGAAATCAATCTACAAAACTAAATTTTAAGTCACTGAAAAAGAACCAAAATTAAATCAAAATCACAAACAAAAATTTAAACCAACTCACCCTTTTCAATCAAATTCAACCATTAAAAATAATTCATCCTATTCAATCTATTATTGTAAAGGCACAAGAAAATAGGTAAATGGGGATCTACTCAATTAAATTATTCTACCATTAAAAAAAATTGTCTATTTTCAAATACATTTATAAATTTTCAGAAGATTTGTTAAATCAAAAATTTTTGTTAAGAATTGATTTTAGTTCTGCTAAAAATGTTCTTGAACATGATGTAAAGAACATTGTTTCTAAACAAATATTTGCAAGATAGTAGGTCATTCTTTCGGTCTTCGATTTTAAGATTGAATATGTTAAAGGAGAATTAAATTATCTCCTTGACTTTCTAACAAGGGAATTTTTACAAGGTTCTCAAGAACAGAGGATAGAGTAATACCCATGATCGAGGTCATGAAAAAGGGAGATCTGGGGAAAGAACCCAGATCAATGCCTATTATCCTCCTCTTAATGAATCTAAATAGCTTAACACTGTAAGTAAACAACTTCTTAAAGAATGACACACAAGTAAGACTGATGATGACGGTTATACTGCCGTAAGAAATAAAAAATAAAAAATAATAAATGAGGCATTAATAGCCAAACCAAAATTAAATTACGCAGAGTTAAACACTCTGCCTGCTTATAGCAATATTATAACTTTGGAAAATGAATATATTAATATGATGATAGATCCATATTATATTGCTTAACAATTTATGACGATGGATAAAACCTTTTGGTCTTTGGTAAAAAAGGAGTATATTATGAAAATATTCTTAAAGAAATTGATTATGTTGAATTCGAAAAATTTTACAAAAATAAGGAGGACCCTAAAAGTCCATCCTACAGTAAAGCATCCATTTTAAGGATAATATCTCAAAGTGACTAGGGTCAAAATTTAACAATTTCAAGAACCTTAACAAGACCTCCTTATATGGAGTATAATTATTTTGACTATATTGATGCATGGTATAATGCATTTCTCTACAATAATGTAGCATTAACGCAATCATGGTTTTTTATCTTCACAAAAACTTGTACTGAGATTTCTAGTTAGTTTTACAACTGATGGGACACTCATGGTGCGATTGAAGGGATATATCCCGAAGAGATGAAAAAATTATTTGACTTGTATAAAAAAAAATCATCCTTAAAGGATAATAAAATTAATGTTAAACCTATTATAAATTTTTCACTTGAATTTTTTGTTCCTTGGATTTGGGTTTGGACTCTTGCTTGTGACTTTAATCACAATGGTCATTCTAGATTAATTAGGGAATATCAAGTAAGATTTTGGAATAACTATCCGTTAAAAGAAAAAATTTCAATTATAGTGGAATATCTTAAAGACATAGAAAAAGAGGAAGTAATTTCCAAATAAATTGTTCTCAGCACCAATATAAACACTGGATTTAATCCCATTGAATTTCTTAAAGAAAAACCTCATCTGACAACTGAGCAGCTTAAAGTGACAGTTATGGAGGAAATACGTCTTCAAATGATATCCACTTTTGGAATGGACAAAACTGAGAAGATGAATCTCATCAATAGTCCTACAATGACCATAAGAGATAAAGGCAAAAATACAGTTGAGGAGGATGATAGGAAAACCAACACTCCTATCAACTCTGATGACGATTTTATGGATTCACAGGAATATACCGCTTATACTCCTGAAAATGAAGATATGGAGATAAATCTCCATGACAACAATTATGTTGAATTATATGATTTGCTCTACAAGTAAAACTTCAACAGTAAAGGGTGACGCTAAGGAGTGACGTAAGTCATGACGTCACAAATATTGTAATGGCGTATGTAATGACGTCAGTGAATAACTTAAAGTTGTGAATAGTAAAAAAATTTATTTTTGAAACCCGGCTTTCATATCTGTTCTCTATATATAGAGGTTGCTTGTTCAGCCTGTTGGACACACCTTTTTCTTATCCCTCTTCTCTTTCCTCAAACACTCTCTCTACCTTCTTATCTTGAAAATTTCTTTTTATCTTCTTCAGTTCTCTCTACTTACTTTGTAAGTAAATCTTGTAAATTTTTATTTTATATTAAATAAAAACTTCCGCTTATTTGTATGTATATATACACACACAATATATGTGGGTATAATTGTATGATAAATCTATAGCTGATTTGTGCGGAATCTTGTAGAAAAGGTTGGGCATGTGATATTGAAGCTGATCGAGATGGATCTGGAATGATCATCGCGTCGTCGGTGGTGGTAAACTATTGGGTAATTGCCACCGATGTTGGTTGGTTATGATGATGGGTATTTATTTATTTTTATCCAAATAGCAAAAAGAAGTTTGAAGATGTGTGTAGCTATGGTGTGGTGGTTGTCTAAACAGAGAGAGAGACTTACAGGGAGATGGATGGGTGTGCATAGAGGGAGAAAGAAACAAAGGAATAGAAAAACATGGGAAGAGAGAGAGAGAGAGAGAGAGAGAGAGAGAGAGAGAGGGGAGGGAGATTTTTTTTTGTCATTTCAGCATGTTTTTTCAATACCAAACGCACAGAGCACAGTAGGCGCGTGACTTAGACATACTGATAAATCGGATGAAAAGCGTGAGTGTGCTTTAGTCCATTAACCATAAGGGGTTATGTGCTATTTTAAAAAGACAGGGAGGTGATATGCAAAATCGTCAAACCACAAAGAGGTAAAGTAAATTTTTCCATAAAATATATGACCAGCTATGACACTTGCAACCTTTGAGCTCATGTGACATAGTTGACGACTGTGATGCTTAGACCATTAAGTCTTCAGTTTTTGAGCTGTGTAATATAGTTGATGGGCTCTGACCCTTGTGCTCTAAGCTCCAAAGTTTAATTATGGCCGAACATAATATAGTAATCAAACTTGGAAAGGGAAGCTTGCGCAGCAAATGACAAAATGCTCAACAGTCAGATAGCTAAGGAAAGCAGGGATGAACCAGAGAACAGAAAGCTGGATCTTAGCACCGGCTAGGTAAGCGTTTTGTGGTAAAAGAAGCAATTATGAACCCTATGGTACCTTACATATGTAGGTCCTCGGACAAGATTCATCAAAGAGTCAAGTTCATAATTTCCAATGTGGTGACAAATCTTACAAATAAGAACGCAAGTAATGAGTTGCTGCGTATCGGCAAACAAAAGATAAAAAAGGAGTTCATGCAATGTGGATGCAACCAAAACAGTGGAACTTCAGCTCGGGTGTTTCTATCTCATCTACCTTCAATTGGCACACAAAAAAAAATTATGAGATGACTGCAAATTGGTTATGAAATTTACTTAACTGAAACACAAGATACACAATGATAAAGGGCACATGCCATTCTGTACATGATAGCTAAGGAAGGTCACTATAGCCTGTATTTGATTTGACTAATTCACCTGGAACTACGGAAGAGTATGGTGATAGTAGCCAGTACATCGCTTACTAAATATATAAAGGAGAACTAACACACAATGTAGCAAGCCGCTCTCTCTCTCTCTCTCTCTCTCTCTCTCTCTCTCTCTCTCTCTCTCTCTATTGTTGCGTTTGTGGATGTGCCGTTGGCCCTCAGCATGATGTGAAGGTTCCAATGCTTTCCAGACTAATGGGAGTATACCATGAACATGTGCATAAAAATGAAAAAGATCCTTACAGATGAGTGGTCGAAGCATGTTGCCTGACCAAAGTGGCATAAATCAACTCATTCCATGCATCAGGGACCCCAGGAAGACACCAATGGCTGCAATCTTGCCGCCTGGTGGATACCCTTCTCCCAGCGGTAACATTCTTTCCGTATATTGATGGGTGGCCATCCTTTCGAAAATTCGTCAACCTCGTTACATTGAGTAGCACCACTGGAAACTGCATTTCCTGGATCACCTCCTCCGCTATTTTCATCTTCACAGGATAATTATTGAGGAAGGCTCCACTTAAAATAGGTTCAGTCTCCCCATTACACGTTCCTCCTGAATCCCAGTCTCCACCTCTGTTTTGATAAACAAGATAAATATCCATTTGTTTAAAACTTAAACGAAAAAATATCCTTATTAATAATTCACAGCTGTGTCATAAGTGAGGCAACTACAAACAAAACAAACCATTATTTCTATGTCCTTCCGTTCGTATTAAATGGACCCAGAAAAAAGCAAAAAGGATTCCTTTAAATGATTCATATGTTGTGTTTGAAAAGTGAGGCAACTTCAAATAAAACAAACCACTATTTCTATGTTCTTCCATTTTATGCATTAAATGACCCCAAAGCTCACAGAGCCAAAAATGACGAGATGAGTGATATAGCCAACCATATACCAAATTCATATAGTATGATTCTTTGAAGTGTTGGATTTATTTATCGTACATTATCTAGAACAGGTGTTCAGAGTCTACTTTCAGAAATAATTTTACCTGAAATGGGCAGATGAGTAACCACGATAAAAAACCAACTTGTCAGCCTTAATGTTTTTATCAATCCAATTTGCCCAGGTCTTCAGGGCTCTACTATAAGCTTCCACTGAATCAAACTTGGGATAAATATAATCACCCTCTTTATAGTAATTTTTCCTGTATCAAATAACCATAGCCATATCATTTTCAATATGACTGAATTAACTGGGATTCTATCTGCAAAAAAGTGTGCATTTTTTTTATTAGTCCAGCCGCATATTGGCTCTTTATGGTACTAAACAGTTACTAAAGATTTCTCATGATATGTCATAGACATCTTTTAAGAGTCTTTAGTCTCCTGCACTCAAAAGAGTATCAATTGATTATTGTTCTCCAAGGGAAAAACAATTGGCTATCGATGATGATACCATTTCTCATACACTCTATAGAAACAAATAGAACTGAGAGCTCATTCTGTTCACATGAATTTACTGAGGATTGTAGAATGCTAACGTACCCCCTAGCAGTCTTTCCATGAGTCCACCAATGCCCAGTGTTGAAGACAAGAATGTCAGCTCGTTTCCAACGGGCAGCTGACTTGTCAATTTGGTCTATCGATAGAGTTGGATTTGAGTTCCCTCGTGCACCTAGGCGAATCCCTTCCTTAACAAGAAAATGTGATCGTACAAATTCCACGGTGCATTTATAATCCTGCACAAGTAGTTTGACAGTGTGACTACATTTCTCTCTTCTTTTGAGTGATTTGTTACAATATGACTACAATTCAATGGCCTTCCTCTACCCTGCATTCACAGTAAAATGGTTTTGGGTGTTGAATCTTTGTAGAACAAGTTATTGACAGTAAATCACAAATGTTCTTTTAGAAAGCACTTAAAACTACACCTTCAACATTTACAACTAAGAAGAGAAAAACATGAATCCCTGTTGAATGAAGCACGCAGGTCACAGATTTTCTCCTTTTCAACCATTCAACAATGAAGAAGAGATGCCTTTTTTAGAAACAGAAGTGCAAGATATATCATTTAACTTATTAAGTTTCTGTTTAAGTTGCCCCACATATATGTGACACAAGAAAACTAGTATTCATGTTAACCACAAGTAAAATGAGGAATTAAACTTACAATTACCTCAAATTTGAAGATGTAATAGCCTCTTCCCTTGGTTATCTTGTAGCCATGAGTTTCATACATCTTGCTTTTATTGGGTAGGCCTTCATGGAGAAGACATAGAAGCGACTCAAACTGGTTCCGGTTCATGGAATCTCCAACTAGCATTAGCCTTTTACCCCTCAGTCTCACCAAGAAGTCTGTTACATTGAACCTAGACAACTAAGACCAATAAATGAGTCAAATGTTCAGCAATTTTTGAAATACTAATGTACAACGAAAAATATCTCGATATTAGTGGAGAACTAGAACTCCAATATGGGCAGTCAAGAGGTGAATGATGTAGAAAAAATCATAGAACCCCTCAATGAGACGAGTTCCAGACAAGTGTGGGCAAAGATACAAAGCACATTTTTTGTTAATGGACTTTCAAGCTTCCCATTTCCGCCTTTTCAGCCACCGAATGGGGCATAATGTTCATTAGTCATACATATTAGATTTGTTGCTGTTTTTGTTTTGGGGAACACTTAATGATATAAATTGGGACTGGCTTAAAGCTCAATCAGCCTTAGGCAGGTACAATACCATTTTAATCCACCGACCCACTCCTACCATGGAGACATCAAAACAAACTTACATTACATTCATGCTAGTTTGTTACCCCCTTAGCTGGTTTGCATGGCTATGACATGCGGGTGCCTCATCCAAAGGTGCCCCATGCCTTAGCCAAGGTGGGGGTGTGCTTGGCCAAGCAACCCCTTTGTGCAAAGTTGGCTTCTAAGGACTTGGTTTGGTATTAAAGATGTTCGACAAAAGTTCAAGTGGCATGCAACGACTATGCCCCAGGTTCTCATCGTTATTACTAGAGTTTTGCTCACTAACACTATTATAGGGGGTACTGTGTGCAGGTGTGCTAGGCCGGCTTCCCCAGGGGCATCTATGCCCCTTAATCTTGGCACACCAAAGTAAGGCACGACCCCAACAAATGCTTGCCATGGGTGTGAGAAAGACATTCCAAAGACCGAGATTCGAGATGTGGTTTAGTGAGGCCCGTCTTTGGTGGAAGTCCCATATATGGCTAAGGCACCACATGCATGAACACGTTGGGCACAAGCAAGCAATCAATTCATGGCTAGCCGTCTAGGCTCGAATTGTGGTGCATTGCAAGCTTAGAAGACCAATCCATGGGCTAGGCATGGCTTGACATGTGGGCAAATAAGATGTTGTAGGCTATTAAGAATGTCAGGTGCACACCATGTGAGCCTGTTCCGTACAGTTGAGGCATGTGTACGACATGTGAGACAGTTATGATCTGATGGATTCCGAGTGATTGCTGACATGTGCACCTCAGGTGAGGCAGTTTTGTGCAATTGTTAGCATGTACACCTCAAGTGAAGTGTTTCAGTACAGTTGCTGGTGGCATGTGCACAGCATGCAGGGGGATTACGAGCAGTTGCTGGCTAAGTCAAACAACAGTTACAACTACTCAACCATGTTCAGCAGAACCAGCCATGTTCAGCAGATGTTCAACATAATTGTGGGGAGTGGCAGAACCCACAATCCTTGAGGGCGAATTTGATTGGTGCTGCAATCTTAGAAGTTAGGGATGTCAACTGCATGGCTGAGTTGGCCAAAGCTGGTAGTGCCCACATTGCCTAGGCAATTGGGCTTGTAACCGCCATTATATACTTTAAATACACATGTCGGGGTCTATAGTGAACCAAGAGAATTTGGACATGTTTGTAGGTAGACCCCTAGCTAGAATCCTTCAAGCTTGTTAAGAAGTAAAAAGGTTTCGTTGTTTGGCTTGTAATCTTGTGTGCCTGTTGTGTTTTGATTCTTGCCCATATTCTGTTCCACTAGGTGTTTCTGTAAATGATTGTATGAGTTCGGTTGAGATTGAGTGACGGATCTTAGCGCCATCACAAGGCAAAAATTCGAGTGAAATTTGACCTCGTGACAGTTGGTATCAGAGCAACAGTTTCCGATCATGGCTAGTGGAAACGTTGTAGAGTTACGTGAACATGTGACCCATCCAGAAGATTTTTTGGGCGCCCCCATGGTGTTGTTACAACCAACGTATTTGTGCGGATGGAACAACGAGTTGTTCATATTGTATATGAGGATGGTCTTCGACAACTACGTGACAGACACCGATGTAAAAATTGACACGTGATGGAAGACATTCTATCCCTCACTAATGTTGTTAAGACCAATTTGAAAGATCTTGAAAACGAGTCAACTCTTATAAAGAGGACCATGCATTCTCGACCAGATGCAGGAGAGGCATATTTGAAGATCAAAGTCCCTAGAACCTAAGGCCTTTGGCGGTACACAGAGTGCCAAGAATCTGGAAAACTTTTAGTGGGACATGGAGTCGTCCTTCAAAGCTACTCATGTGCCTACGGGAGAGAAAGTTGCAATAACCAGCATGTATCTTTCTGGGAATGCCAAACTTTGTTGGCAAACTTGGAATGAAGACGATGCTAGTGCGGGGACAGCCCAGGATCTAGATGTGGGATACTCTGAAAAATGAGTTAGAAGGATTAATTTCTACCTAGCAACACTACCTAGATTACTAGGGACTCGCTTAAGAAATTGAAGCATACCGGCACTGTTCAAGATTACATGAAGGATTTCAGTTCTTTGATGTTGGGTATCAAGAACATGTTCGAGGAGGACAAACTCTTCAATTTAATGTCCGGTTTGCAAGGATGGGCCAAGCCAAGCTGTATAGGTAGGAGTTGTGTGATTTGGCCACTGCCATCATTGCTACGGATGGCCTTGTTGACTTCAAGATGGACAACAGTTCAGGCCCTTCTGAAAAGAAGAAGAAAGATGGTGGTGGCAAGAAAGACAAAACTGAGGTCTTGCTTGGTTATCATATCGGAAACAGTTTTTTGTTCTCAAAATTTCAAAAACACTCAAAACTTGTTTGTTTAGCATTTTTATTCTCTAAATTTTGAGAAAAAAATGAGATTTGAGTCAAAGAAACAGAAAACAAGTGTAGCTTGTTTTCAGAGTTTTTTTTGAAAATTTTGGAAATAAGGAGAACAATTTTGGATGGGTATATATATATTTATTTATATATATATATATATATATATATATATATATATATATACGTATATTTATACATGTATATATAAAAACTTATATATATATATAAAAACGTATATACGTATATATATATATATATATTTTGTGTCAATCTAAAAATATTTTTTTTATATTTTTTTATTAATGTTTGAATTACTTTTCAAATATATATTTAGGTTGTCCAAACAGATTTTACTATTTTCTATATTATAAAATTATTTTTGAAATCATCTACCCAAACGAGTTTTTTATCTCAAAAAATATCAAAACCACTTTCTTAAAAAATATCAAAACCACTTTCTTAAAACTCAACCAAACTCAAGGTTGTCAACTCCAAAGCAATGCTGGTGCATGGCACGACAAAGAAAAGCCTAAAAGTGAGTATGTAGAAAGGTTAGGCGAGTTTGATGGCAGTACCCTTAGACAAATTTGACATCATCCTTAGCAATGAATTCTTTATCAACGCTAAGGTGGCGCTAATGCCACATTTGAATGGGATGCTAATCTCGGAAGAGAGAACAACATGTTTTATGCCTGTTGTGTTGGCAGACCAAAGCAAGAACGCTGGCAAGCAGAAGATAGAGATTTTGTTCGCTATGCAAGTGAAATCTAGATTGCGAAAGGGTGAGATGACATACCTTGCGGCTTTAGTAGAGATCAAACCTTGATGTGAAGGTTGAAGTGTCCAATACTATGGCACAAATTTTGGGGGAATTTGCTAATTTTATGCCCCCCATAGAACTCCCCAAGACCCTTCCGCCTAGACGTGCAATTGATCACAAGATCGAGCTGAAGCCTGGTACAAAGCCTCCAACCCGTGCCCCCCACCGAATGTCACCCATGGAGTTACTAGAAATGAGGAAGTAGTTAAATGAGTTGCTAGCCCTCTAAGGTGCCATATGGAGCACCAATGCTATTGCAAAAGATGCAGGATGGTTTGCCATAGATGTGCATTGACTATCAGGCCCTGAACAAAGTGATGCTCAAGAATAAGTCCCCTATTTTGAATGATGTTGATCTGTTCAATAGGCTCTTCAAAGCAACCTTCTACACAAAGCGGGACTTGAGGAATGGGTATTGACAAGCTAGAATTGCAAAAGGAGATGAATCCAAAGCTGTTTGTGTTATGCATTATAGTTCATTTGAATTCCTGGTAATACCATTTGGGCTCACAAACGCTCCGACTACTTTCTGTAATTTAATGAATGATGTTTTTAGTGGTTGTCTATTTAGATGACATTGTAGTCTATATTAAGTCGTTGGAGGATCACTTAGACCATCTAAGGATAGTGTTCTCACGGCTTAGAAAGCACCAATTGTATGTTAAGAAGGAGAAATGTGAATTATGTTGCCAAAAAGTGATGTTCCTAGGACATTGGATTAGTAAAGGCTAGATCCGGATGGATGAGAGGAAGGTAAAGGCAATTATTGATTGGCTTACACCAACCAAGGTCCCTGAATTGCAGTCTTTCCTAGGTTTAGCCAACTATTATTGCAAGTTCAGGGTTATTCAAAGAAATGCAACGCCCGGACTACTTTGCTCAAGAAAGATTGAAAATGGGACCGAAATGATGGCTTTCAGACTATTTTTCCGAAGCTGAAGCATGCAGTGTCTTTTGCACCAATGCTGAGATTGGTAAACTTCGATTTGCTCTTCAAAGTGCACACTGATGTCTCTGACCATGCCACTAGATAAGTTCTCGTTCAGGAAGGACACCCTATTGCCTTTGAAAGGCGAAAGTTGAAAGATGCAGAGTAACACTACTTGGTACACAAGAAAGAAATGATTGATGTGGTGCATTACCTTAAAATTTAGAGGCACTACTTGTAGGGAACAAAGTTCACTATTGTGACGAACAATGTGATGAACAATTATTTCAAGTCCCAGAAGAAGCTAACTCCAAAGCAAGCACAGTGGCACGAGTTTCTTGTTGAGTTTGACTTTATATGGTTTCACAGGCCCAAAAGGCAGAACCTAGTTGCAGCACTTGCCACTGTGCAAACCGACTTCCTTGCAAGAGTCAAAGAGCAGGCCTAGACTGATGTTGCTTACGACAAATTAAAAGAACAAGTCAATGACTCTTTGGTTCATAGATGTTGGCTGGAAGATGACCTGCTCTATACCAAGAAAGGCAGGCTCTATGTCCCGGCGAGACGGAAGCTAAGGCAAGAATAGTTGCTAGAAATACATGACTGCTAGTGGGCCAGACATTCAGCAGTCGAGAAGATGTTTGCATTGCTGTCTCGATCCTACTATTGGCCCAAGATGAAGTTTAGGCGTATGTCAGAACTTGTCTAGTTTGTCAACTTAACAAGGTTGAGAAAAAGAATGCAACGGGTTTGCTACAACCCCTACCCATTCATAACAGACCGTGGCAGTCAACTTCGATAGTCTTCATATACAACCTGTCAAAGGTTGATGACATGCACTCAATCATAGAGGTGGTCGACCGATTCCCCAAATATGCAGTGTTCATTCATGCACGCCATGCTTCCCTTGCAGATTTTACTGTAGAATTGTTCTACAAGTACGTAGTAAAGTACTTTGGTTTACCGAAAGACATAGTCAGTGATCGCGACGCAAGATTCACTGGCAAATTTTGGACTGTGTTGTTCAATCTCATGGGTTCTCAATCTCATGGGTTCTGAGTTGAAATTCTCTATAGTAAGTCACCTTTAGATTGACAGTCAGACTGAACTAATCAAAGCTTTGTAGGAGGATTGTCTACAACACTATGTCATTGCAAGTCTGAACAATTTGGTGGAGTCGATGGATACTGCCCAATTTTGCCACAACTTACATAGGTCTTCAGCTAAGTCCCTACGAATTGGTCATGGGATAGCAACCATTTACTCCTCCTGAAGTGGTGAAACAGAGAACTGGAGGAAGATGTCCCATTGCATATTGGTTTACTAGGCCCAGGCAAGAGTTGCTAGACGAAGCAAAAGGATAGCTTAGCCAAAGCTACCCATCGAATGAAGAAGTATGTCGATCAACGTCGAAGGCCGCTGGAATTTCAAATTGGTGATTAAGTTTTGTTGAAATTGACTCCAGCAATTTGGAAGAGAATCAACAGCAAAACAATGCACCGTGGGCTAGTTCCCAAATATGACGGTCCCTTCGAAGTGATGAAGAACGTCACGAAGGTTTCCTGTTGCTTAAAGCTATCTAATCGATTGAAAATTTACTCAACTTTTCATGTAAATTTCTAAAGCCTTTTCTTGAAGACTTGCTAGACGGAAGTAATCAGAAAATAATTTGACAACAATTTCGAGGCAGATGCTAGTTGGAAAGAGATGATATTCTTTGATAGTTTGAGAAACAAAACAAGTTAAGGAGTAATGGGACAAACTCTTGACAAGGACGTCGAGTTCTTCCGATGGGGGTGGTTTGTTACCCCCTTAGCTGGATAGTATGGCTATGGCATGTGGGTATCTCGCCCAAAGGTGCCCCATGCCTTAGCTAAGGTAGGGGTGTGCTTGGCCAAGTAACCCTTTTGTGCAAAGTTGGCTTCCTAAGGACTTGGTTGGGTATCAAAGGTTTTCGACAAAAGTTCTCAAGTGGCATGCAATGACTATGCCACTGTCTCTCGTCATTATGACTCCTCAGTTTAGGAGATGTTTGTTGTTGTCACTAGAATTTTGCTCACTAACGATATTATAAGGGGTTGCTTTGCAAAAGGGTGTTAAGCCAGCTTCCCTAATGACCCTTATGCCCCTAGCCTTGGCATACCAAAGCAAGACACAGCCCTAACAAATACTTATCATTGGTGTGGGCAAGACATTTCAAAGTCTGAGACCCGAGATGTGGGGCCGATGTTCAGTTTGGCCCATCGTTGGCTGAAGCCCCATGCATGGCTCAAGAAGGCCACACATGCATGGGCATGTTGGGTCCAAGCTAGCAATTATGACTAGCCGTGTGGGCTCAAAGTGTGGTGCATTACAAGCTTGGGAGACCTAGTCATGAGCTGGGCATAACTTGTCACATGGGCAAGGGAAAATCAGATGTTGTGGACTATCAAGGATGTCAAGTGCATATCATGTGAGGCGGTTGCAAACAATTAAGGCATGTGCACAACATAGAAGATAGTCTACTGATGGGTTCCATGCGGGTGTTGGCATGTGCATCTCAGGTAAGGCGATTCTATGCAGTTGTTGGCATATGCATAGCATGAGGAGTAATTCCAAGAAGTTGCTCATGGCATGTGCACAGCATATAAGGAAGTTACAGGTAGTTTTTTGCTGAATCAGACACTAGTTACAACTGCTCAACCATGTTCAGCATAATTATGGGGAGTGACAGAACCCCCACAATCCTTGAGGGAGAATCTAATTTGTGCCAACAATCCTAGCAGTTAGGGATGTCAACTGCATGGCTATGTTGGTCAAAGTTGGTGGTGCTAGCATTACCTTGGCAGTTGGTTGGACTTGTAACTGCCATTGTATGATGGGATCTACAATGAATAGAGAGAGTTTGGACACATTTAATATCAGACTCCTACCCGGAATCTTTTAAGCTTGTCAATTAGTAAAAAAATTTGACTGTTTGGCTTATAATCTTGTGTGTTTGTTGTGTTTTGATTCTTGCCCATATTTTGTTCCACTTACTGCTTCTGTGAGCATTTGTGTGAGTTTATCTGAGGCTGAGTGTCGGATCTCAATATCATCACGCGGCAAAAATTTGAGTGAAATTTGAGCCCGTGACACTAGCACACATTCACAAACATGAAATAACAAATTGAAAGAAAACTCACACACATGCACATTCATTTGAATTGTCCCAAATGAAAATTAAGTGGCAACAAATAAATTTGATTTTTGCAAGGAATAAACCCCACGACCCTGTTTAAGTTGTCTGAAATAAAGCCAGTCAACTCGACAAAGAACATTCTAAACAGTTACGACAATTCACTCTTGGAGTTATGACAGTTGTTATTTTCTTCATTTTTTCCGACACCTGTAAACCGGCTAAGAGACACTTTCATTAGAACCGTACCACTTTTCGTGACTCATACCCAAATGATAACATCCTATCTTTATACAGCTACTATGAAGTACAAAGTGAAGGATCCACAACAAAAAAACACATTTGATATCAATACTTGTCAAATACTCGATGATGAAATATTACAAAAACCAATTTTGGTTATTGAATGCTTCTAAGATTCACCTCGGATATGTGTATCTCTACAATCATGCTAATAATATTGACTAAGATGGTTTGTGAATTGTGCATGGGTTGAGTATTTTAAACTCGTGTTCATTATAGATTTAGAGTAAGGTTGGAGCCTATTAAAAGCTCCTTATAAACCTTCCATGGACAATTTCTTCAATTGAGAACACTAGTATAGGTACAAGTGCCTTAGGATGACTGTTATCATGCTCAACGTTTGATAATAATGTCTAGTTCAATGTTACATGGATTATGGATCTATTGAATATGAGTAGATACGATACTTTCTTAGGTACACAATATAATAAGAATAGACTTAGCTGATAAGGTGTTTTAGATTGCAATTCCTTCTGGAACCCTTATCTAGATTGCTTTCAGTACTATATAAAATCATACATAAAATAGGACATAGATAAACACATAGTTAATTACAACTTACTTAACATTTGTGCTTGATTTCCTATTATTCCAAAATTATATATAATTATATATTTATACATATAATGAATTAATATTTGATTTATACTTGTGATACATGGTCCAAAGAGATTTAATTTGGCATGAGTATTACAATTTGGGTTGGACGTTTAGGTGGTGATCTAGATTGCAAATTCACCCAGCTAGGGATCGTTATACTAAGATCATGGTTCATTAGGGGTTAAGCGATTTCTGATAACTATGGAGTAGGTTGTTTGAGCCGAATAATAAGGAGTTATATTTTACATCAAAATTAATGGACACTATTCCAATTAGATGTTGAGTCAAGTCCCTGACACTTCTAATTCAGGCCTATTTTAGAAAAAATTTAATTTCATTAGTGAGAGCCAATTATTTGTCATGTAAATAATGAAAATTCATTCACGCCCAGGTGTAGTAGCATCTAATGTTTTTATGTGATACCTGACTGCTTGTTCTCAAACATACTTAGTATCGAAAGTTTCCAATTCTAAGCACTAAACATCACCTAAATCTGCATGGACTAGAAATTATCAATAATGACACGATAGTAAATATCAATAACAATGATGTAGTTTTCCAATGGACACAAATCCTATTAAGAAACATGGAAAAGACAAAATTGCTTTGCAACAAAAGTTTTTGGACCTCTCTAATTGGGATATGTTCATCTACCGTAGAGACCATGTTGTGGCTGTTGGGGAAGACATATATCCTACAGTAGAAAACCTCAGTAGTGGCCCCAAGTGTTAAAGCCCGAAGAGATATAACAAGGATATAACAAGAAGCAAGTATGGGTGGACTGATGAAATATCAACACTTCTCACACTCCCAGATGTCATAGATTCTCACAATGCACAGAAACATCTTCTCTGTGCATTCAGAATGAACCAATGAATAAGACATTGGAAAAATTGGTTGGGATGGGGGAGGAGCGGGGAAAAAGACCATTTTCATCACTTCCTCATTCAAAGCTTTGCTTGCCAGACTAGGTTGATCCCTTAAATGCGGCAGCATGTCGAATCCCAGAATCCTTATGCATCCCAACTAAGTTAAAGAGTTGTCAAATCTAATTTCTCAAAGACACTAATGGTATTTTATTCCAGTGCATAAATAGAACACCAAACAATCTATTTGGAACAGACACGAGAGGTTTCATGCTTCAGTGCTTAAGAGACCCTGATTCCCAGATCTCTGGATTCCGTTTGGAAGTCTGATGCTAGTTTTGAATCAATATTAATGTCTAGAAGAGAAAGCAACAAAATCTGATTCCTTTCCTCATCAACCATTGGCCAAAAGGCAAATTCGTAACTTGTCCTACACCATCATCCATTGAACACAAGCAACTAAACGGGTTCATTTCTTCAACAAAATGCCACATCACTTCCGAATGAGAAATCAAACAACCATAAACTAATGTCTAATATGAAGAAGCAGTGTGGCATTACATTTAATCTCAATGTAATAGGATATTGCTCATTAGTGAACTGATTTTTTTGTTTAGGATCAGTCTCACGTTAAAATTCGTTAGAACATATTGCGTTTTTGAGCACTCCAGTTCCTTTTCAGTTAACTGGATGCTTTACATGAAAGGTCCACTTTTAATCTCCATCTGTTAAGTTTAAATAAATACCCTACCATTCATTTTTTCCGGTTTAGAACAAACGGGCTATAACCAAACCGCAATCTTTTGACTCAATTTGAAATAACTTCGGGCACAATCAACAGCCGAGCAACAGTTCTATCTCCGAGCAACCAATATCCAGACAACAAGTGTAACGTACATAAACATTTGAAGTATTTTCAGAAAGTCAGTACGCAAACAAATCGATTTTAATTATTTCAGGAACTTGATCTACAAGTAGAAACTTGAGATGTTATTCGTCGACTTATATTTCATTTTATTTCTCTTAGTTTATCCATTTAAGTCAATGAAACAACCAATCAAATCTACACAAAGATACACAACATTAATTCTGCAAGAATCCATTGATTATTATTATAAAATTCCCATATCAAAATTATTTACTGGTACCATTAACTTAATGCCTTAAAATCTGCAGTGCCCAATTCATACAATATTAAATCTAGAGAAGAAACCATGAAAACCAACCTTGGAAGATCACAGCCATCCGGCTTCCACCGCCATTTCAGGTACTCCGAGTCACGCCTTCCATTGCTTTGGCAATCAAAACCGTCATCGACATAAGGGCAAGACCCTGGCTTATACATTGGGTACTCCTCATCCTTCACCCAATTTCCCGCATACAAATCGCAACCCTCTTCCCATTTCAGCCTCTTTCTCGACACATTACTGTCTCCATGATCAGAAATTGTTAGATTATCTTTTTTCTCTTCCACCCCAGAATCAGCCAACTCAATCTCAGTGCTCGAAACATTGAAATCAGGATTTGGCCAAATGGGTATCTGAATGGATGAATTCAGAGCATTGTGATCAGGGTTAGAATCTGTAATGGTGAAAGAATTGGATGAGTTCTGGAGGGAATCGGATCTTGTAGGAGGGGGAAGAGGGGAAGAGAAAAGAGGGGTTCCGGAGAAGTCGTCTCTGTAGAGAGAGAGTTTAGGCTCAAGAGCTCGTTTGCTGAAGAAGAATAAGCTTAGAAGGAACAATGCCAGCAGTATGATGGTTGAGAGTGTGTAGCGGTTCTTCTGGGAGTAGGTAGTTCCCATCTGGGGATTAGCATGTTCTATTCTGTTGTCTATTTGTCTGTTCTTTTCGGTGTTATTATTCTGTTAGAGAGAGAGAGAGAGAGAGTTGCCAAAGCCGACAATGGGGGGAAGGAATGTGGAATGTGGAACGTGGAACGTGGAACGTGGAACGTGGCCGTGACACCATTTTTCTTGAAAGGGCAACGCCGGCTGGCTAGTATTACCAAAAAAAAAAAAATTAGTATCCTAATGTTATCATAAAAAATTGGTACTATACTTGTTGTGATAAGAAGTGGTGCAACATAATTAAATGTATTTTGTAGCAATTGATTATTAAATTAATATTAATAAAATAAAATTTACATGTGTTATACTTTTAATGGATAGTCGGAGGTAAAAAATTTACACATGTTATATTTTTATAGAATAAAAAGAAAATGTATAATAATAAAAAATAAATTTACTATAGTTAGACTCTAAAATGAAAGACAACCTAGTGATAGATTGGTAATGCACTGCACATATAAAAATGGACCTTTTATTTATAAGGTAATTCGGATGGAATGATCACATTGATTAAAAAGTCGAGATTTTAATTTTGAGTTTTACACTAGAGATGTTGACCTCATGCACATAGTTTACATATGATTGCATGCATCTTAAGTTTACTAGTAATGCACAACGTGCGTTGCACATAAATAAATGTAAATAATTTTTTTTATAGAAACATGAATTATATAAGTAATTAAATTAAATAATAAATTAGGTATCAAATAATTAATCCGTATTTTAATTATTACTAAATTTAATGATTAATTTATTCTATAAGTCTTTGAATAATTAATCTGTTATTTATTCAGGTATCTCTCTAATTCCTTTAGTCATTTGTCTATCTAATTATATTATAAAATTATTAATTTTTATTTTGTCAAAAAAATTGATTGGATTGCTTATAATATTATTATATTATTGCATAATAAAAGATAAAATATAACATCTATTTTACCGTGGAATTCAATGTAATAACTACACACACACACACACACACATATATATTACACTTTACTTCTTCATACAAATATAGAAAATTGTATGTAACTGTACTACTAATAAATAATTTCAAAAGAATTTAGAAGTGCTTATAAAAGAGTTTAAAATAAGTTAAAAGTTAAATAAGAGTAAAAAAATAAAAATTAGATAAAAGTATATAGGTGGGTATAATTGATTTTATTACAATAATTAAGGATAAAATAGGAAATCAAAACTAATTTAATATATATAGGACTTTACTTCTTGATATGGATATAAAAAATTGTATGTAATTATATTACTAATAAATAAGTTCAAAAGAATTTAAAAGTTCTTATAAAAGAGTCCAAAATAAGTTAAAAATCAAATAAGAATAAAAAACAAAAATTATATGAAAGCATATAGGTGAGTATAATTGATTTTATTATAATAATTAGGGATAAAATAGAAAATCAAAAAATTTTCACAGATGTTGATATTTATAAGTAATATAGATATAGTAGTTACAAGTCCAAAAATTATATGATTGAGATGACTTTTGGACACTAAAAAATTATTGAACGGATGAATTGTTCCACATGAAAAAAAAGGGGGGGAGAGAAAATTATGTTTGAAAATGTAATTGGAAAACTTGACTCCATGTTAGGGTTGAAACAAAAAATTTCTCGGCTTTGTCAAGGTGAATTAAAAATCAAGGAAAATGTCATTGTCTAACTACATTTTTCATCTAACTCGGGAACATTTTCAAATTAAAATACTCTCTTGTTCAGGAAAACATTAAGGTATCATTGGACATCGTTCTTTAAAAGTGATTCTATTATTTTAGGCTTTTTAAGTACCATTGTTTTGGCATATTTTTTTTTTGTTGAGTATCTTCAATCACATGTACATTAATATACAACACACATATGATAATTATAATTTTCATGCATTAAAACACATTTAGAACACTTTTCCAAAATAATAATTAGACATCCTTCTATTTTTTAGATGAAATTAATTAAAAAAAAAATAAATTTATACCAAACAGTATGTAAATTATCAAGTCATGTTGTTGTTTAATATTTTCCGTGTTTTGTAAATCCAAACGTATTTCATAAGTTGATACATGTCGTGTATCACCGGAATGTAATGTTGTTAATTTGTCTTTCAACCAAACATGATTTAAAAGTTGTAGTGAGGAACTCCGTACTCTTGATAGGATACTGAAAATATAACTCCTTAAATCACAAACCTATGAACTGAATGATATTACTTACTGCATGTCCTTATGTTAATTATTATATATTATATATATAATATATGTACATAGATATATTTTATCCACATAGTGACTCTCTGTTGTAGTCAACCTCACGGTTTGCCTGACTGACGAGTCTGTCGTCAAACCTATTTCTTAGTCACCAGATAGAGTGCACCTTTGGTACTTCAATGGGGCGAGCTGTTTGATAGTGATTTCTTTTGTTTGGTAGGGAGACGAAAGGCTCTACCACTGGGCTACTAAGGAACAACGGAAGGGTCATGTACCAATGAAATAAATCAAAATTGTCCTTGAATCAGCATGCGACTCATCATAGATTTATCTCGATGAGTTGCAACTCCAAATTTAAATTCATGTCTCATGATTAGTGAAAGAGTTAAACCTCATGATTACACGTGACATGACATTAAATGTGCTCACATGATATTGACAAAATAAGGCACGTGATGAAGAATCATTTATTAAGCTTTTTAACCAAGCCGAGCTAATTAAAGGTTCGGCAATGACAGAAAAAGTTCAGTTCTCTTTATGATCGAACTCATTAGTCCAACTAAGCAATGAAAGAGCTCGACTTGTACCAAGCCGAGTCCGTTAAAGTGTTCGACAAGGCAATTAAAGAGATCGGTTTGTGCCAAACCAAGACCCTTAATCTGTTTGGCAAATATCAAGTGTGCTCGGCATTCAATATGTTCGAGCTATTTTAAATAATAAACATAAGGATAAAAATTCGTCCATAACTTAGACAATCAGATAAGCGAATCAGATAAATTGAAGATATCAGGAGAAAAATAATGGAGAAATATCAGCAACTTTCCAAACCGGATCACTAAATTGAAAGAAGGTGTGGCACCTTGAATCAAGAATCATGGAAACCCTTAGGGAATGACCATCTATAAAAAGCAAAAGGAGCCAACAAGAAAGGTACACTGAACCCTCCCTGTCTCCTTCCTTTCATTTCATTATCTTTACTGACTTAAGCATCGAAGTGCATTCGATCAAAGCACTTTGTTCTTGGGCAGTTTGTTCGTTTTGCAAGAAGAGCAAGATTGGGAAATCAAGTTCATAAACATATTAATATTCCAATTCTAGTAAGAGGTATTCTTGATTTTTTGCCTCTTACATTTGGCGCCGTCTATGGGAAAATTTCCATCTTTCGCAACAAGAAGCCACAATGTCTAAACTCAAAAGTACAATCGGATCACCTAGAGGCAGTTTCGCCTTGTGAGACTTTGATCCTGCATCCATCCCACCTGAAACAACGCACGGTTTCAAGCAAGAGGAAGCCCTTCTAGATTCCATGAAGGCGAAGAGATGTCCTCTACAAGTTACAGCCCCTCGAAGAATCAATACCGCGAAATTGAAGATCGTTGTGAATCCCTTCGTGCCGAGGGGGAAAACCACTCCCTGGTCATGTTGGTTCAATCCCTGCAGAACAGACTTGATGCTCATGATAAGTTGTTCAAGAAGTCTTATGCCAGGGAAAAAGATCTGATCAAAGGAAACGAAGAACTTAAAACCAAAATAAAAGAGCTCACCAGGAAAGAGAAACGTGCGAGGGAAAGCCATTGGAAAAGTCCTGAAAGGAAACCCGACAGATACAGAAGCAACAATGAAGATTGTCACTAGCAGAAGAAACCTTGGGTTCAAGAGGAGGTTGCATGGAAACAACACATTACTGAGGAACTCAATAATTGCCTGAGGAGACCAGAATAGGGGTCGGCTAAGGATCTGGCCAGAAGAGCCATAGGAGAATATAGAGATGGTTCGGAGTCATCTCCATTTACAGTTTGGATTGAAAAGGGACGAATTCGGAGCAAATTCACCATCCCGAACTTCAAACTATATGACGAAAAGACTGACCTAGCCTCGCACATCAGACATTACAAACAGCTGATGACCATTCATCAAAAAAATGAGCCCCTACTCTGTACTATTTTCCCTAGCAGTCTGGGGGAGTCAGCCATGAAGTGGTTTGACAGCCTACCAAAGGGAACTATCGATAGGTGGTCCCAGTTAGCCATACAGTTCACAGCTCGGTTCATAACGAGCAGCAAGCAGCCGAAGGATGTTGGAGCACTATTGACGCTAAAAAAGAAAAATAACGAAAGCCTGCGAGAGTACGCTCATCGTTATTGGGAAACTATGAATGAGGTTGAAGGGTGTCATCCAGAGATTGCAGTTGCATCCTTCAAGATCGGGTTGCCGAAGGAGAACCCCCTATATCAGTCGCTCACAAGAAGGCCAACCACGGATCTGGAAGATGTGATGTCTAGGATTGAAAAGTATGTCAAAGTCGATGACGACTTATCCAGGGACGGGGTTAAAGAATATCCAAGCAAGAGACAGTTCGGCAGAGACAAGTAAACCGAGCCAAACAGAGAGGGAGGAAGGAAGAATGAGAAGGATAAATATCCTCAAAAGTCCCCATTTCTAGGAGTAAATACATTGTTCAAGGAACCAATATACAAGATATTAAGCTAGATCAAGAAAAAGCCATTTTTCAAATGGCCGAACAAGTTAATAGGAGATCCTTCCAAAAGGAATCCAAACTTCAGGTGTTCATATCACAAGGATGTGGGCCACATGACTGAATATTGTCGATCTCTAAAGCAACATTTGGAGGAGCTGGTCCAGGCTGGACATCTCACTAAGTTCATAGAAGGTAAACAAAAAATCGATGGAGGGAAGATTGAGGCAAATGGGGACCACAACACTCCAGTAGGGGGTGATT